CTGTGCCCCGAGCCGCCCGGTCGCCGAGCTGCCTTTCTGCTAGCTGCACGACCTGCCCTGCCTGGTGAGCACAGTCCCTCTGTCACTGCGCCCCTCTTTCCCTACTGCTTGCACTGCTTCGCTGTCGTCATCATGGCCACCCCTAGTGTCCTAGCCTTTGACGCCGAGGGTCGCGCCATTGATTTTGAGGTCTGGCTAGATGACCTGCAGCTTTTCTTACAGTGCGACAGAGCTGACAGCCTTTCTCTCTTTGACCTCACCTCTGGCGCCTCTCCCGCTCCTGCTGCCGATGCTGATCCCACTGTCCGCTCTCAGTGGGCCACCCGCGATGCTGCTGCACGTCTTGCTGTGCGTCGCCACCTCCCTACCTCTGAGCGTGCGCATTTTAGTCAGTACAAGAGTGCTCAGACCTTGTACGACGCTGTAGTTGCGCGCTACTCCTCTCCTGCCACTGCTGCACTGAGCCGTCTCATGCTTCCCTACCTCTTTCCCGACCTCTCTGCCTTTTCCCACTGTCGCTGACCTCATTACGCACCTCCGCACTAGTGACACTCGCTACCGCGCCGCCCTTCCTGCTGAGTTCTGCGCTAAGAACCCCCCCCCCCATGTACATCACTCTCTACTACGTAGTCGCGCGCCTCCCTGACTCCCTCCACGTAGTCAGGGACCACTTTCTGGCAGTCTGTCCCACCACTCTCACCGTCGACCTCCTTGAGAAGGCCCTCCTCGCAGCGGAGAAGAGCATAGTCGCTGTAGGTGCCTCTCGTGGTGACCCTCGCACCCCCATCTTTGAGGGGTGCTCTCCTTCCCCCTTGCTGCCCTCTGTTGCCTCTGCTGCCGCGGCCGACCTGCTTGGTCTTGAGTCGGTCGGCGCGGCGTCTGCCCCTAGTGGGAGACGTCGCTCTGGCAAGGGCAAAGGGGGCAAGGGCGCGGGCGGAGCTGGAGGGGGCGGTGGCGGTGGCGGCGGGGGCGGCGGAGGGAGTGGGGGTGGCGGCGGGAGTAGTGGTAGTGGTGGTGGTGGTGGTGGCAGCAGCGGCGGAGACGGTAATGGTGGTGGCACCGGTGGTGGTGGAGGCGGCAGCGGGAGTGGAGGCGGTGGAGGTGGAGGCGGTGGAGGTGGAGGCGGTGGAGGCGGCGGCGGAGGAGGCGGTGGTGGTGGAGGAGGTGGAGCTGGTCGTGGTGGTACCCAGCAGCGGAGCGGCGGTGGTGGTGGCCAGCGCTCGCAGCGGCAGCAGCAGCAGCGTTCGCGGGGACATCCCTCCGCCTCAGCAGCTTCGTGAGTGGTACGCTGCGCGTCAGAGGGGTGGGGGTACTGGTCCCTGCGCCTACGTTCTTCGTTCCGGCGACCGCGCGGGTGAGCAGTGTGGGGGTGCCCACTCCACCCAGCGCTGCTTTGGCCGCCTGACGGACGCTTGGCGTCAGCAGTTCCCCGGGGCTAGTGAGATCCCTCGCTGGGATGAGCTCCTTAGGGCTGGTTGTAGCGATCTTTGATCTTGATTTTGATGCTATCCTTTCTGCTATGTATGCTGTAACTTATAGTGAGGAGAATGAGGGTTACCGGTGTTTCCAGCCCGACCCGGGCATTGGTACTGCTGCACTAGGTCCTTGTGAGGCTGCTGCTCTAGGTGCCAGTGCGTCTGCGCTCTCAGGTACTAGTGAGACTGCGCTCTCAGGTGCTGGTGAGACTGCGCTCTCAGGTACTGCGTCGCCCTCGTCCTCCCTCACTTTCACACTTGACTCTGGGGCTTCTCGCTCCTTCTTTCGAGACCGCACTACCCTCACGCCGCTTGGCCGACTGGTTGCGGTCTCCCTTGCTGACCCCTCTGGGGGTCCTGTCCTGTCTCACTTCTCCACTGTCCTCCCGTGTCCGGCTGCCCCTTCGGGCACCCTGTCTGGTCTGTACCTTCCCTCGTTCTCTACGAACTGGGTGAGTGGTGCGGACCTACAGGATGCAGGGGTTCACCAATTCACTCCTGCGAGGCGGCGGGTGACCCACTGCACGGACGCAGACACAGGCCGACACCTGGCCACCTTTTCGCGTCGGCCGGGGTCGAGTCTCTACACCCTGACCACTTCGTCTCCTCCTGTCCCTGTGTCTGGTCGGGTAGCTGCGTCAGGTCAGGTGTTTGCTGCTGCGTCCCGGTCAGGTCCTGAGTCTGCCCCCTGTTCTTGTCGCCTCCTGTCTCACGAGACTCTCCTGTGGCACCACCGTCTTGGCCACCCCTCCTTGCCCCGTCTTCGGAGCATGGCTTCCCGTGTCCTTGTCTCTGGTCTTCCCCAGTCTCTCCCTCCTCTCCCCTCCGGGCCAGGACCTTCCTGTGTCCCCTGTGTCGAGGGTCGCCTCCGGGCTACTCCTCACTCCTCCCACTTCCCCCCGACAGAGGCTCCCCTGCAGACGCTTCACATGGATGTGTGGGGCCCAGCCCCCGTCCGTGGGCAGGGTTACGAGCGCTACTTCCTGTTGGTGGTTGACGACTACTCGCGTTACACCGCAGTCCTCCCCTTGCGCAGCAAGGGTGCGGTCACTGAGGTGCTGATCGACTGGATCCGCGAGGCTCGTCTCCAGCTCAGGCAGAGCTTCGGCTCGGACTTTCCTGTTCTGCGTCTGCACTCTGACAGAGGCGGAGAGTTCTCTTCTCGCCTTCTGCGAGACTACTGTCGTGCACAGGGGATCCGCCAGACCTTCACGCTTCCGGACTCACCTCAGCAAAATGGGATTGCTGAGCGCCGCATTGGCATGGTCATGGATGTCGCTCGTACGTCCATGATGCATGCGGCTGCCCCCCATTTTCTGTGGCCGTTTGCGGTGAGGTACGCGGCGCATCAGCTCAACCTTCACCCCCGGGTCTCTCGGCCTGCGATGTCCCCAGTCTTGCTGTGGACGGGGAAGGTTGGCGATGCGTCTGTGTTCCGTGTCTGGGGATCTCGGGCGTTTGTCCGCGACTTGTCTGCGGACAAGCTGTCCCCTCGTGCTGCTCCCTGTGTCTTCCTTGGCTTCCCCACTGACGCCCCAGGGTGGCAGTTTTACCACCCCTCCTCTCGTCGTGTTCTGTCCTCCCAGGACGTCACGTTCGACGAGTCAGTCCCCTTCTACCGTCTCTTCCCCTACCGCACTCCTTCCCTTCCCCCTCCCCCGGACTTCCTTGTGCCGGTTCCCCCCCCGGTAGACCCCCTCCCCCCTCAGGTTCCTGCTCCCTCAGGTGTGTCCCAGGTAGACGCCGTTGACCCGGTCGAGGTTACTGGTGACTCTGGTGCTGCTGCGGGTACTGAGCCTGGGGGTGCTGACTCTGGGGGTGCTGTCCGCGGGGGTGCTGAGCCTGGAGGAGCTGCTGCTGGGGGTCCTGAGCCTGGGGGTGCTAGTGCGGAGGGTGCGGAGCCTAGGGGTGCTGCGCCGGGGGGTGCTGTCACTGGAGGTGCTGGGTCTGGGGGTGCTGTGTCTGGAGCTGCTGAGCCTGGGGGTACTGCGTCTGGAGCTGCTGCGCCTGGGGTTTCTCCTGCGGCTCAGCCTCCCCGGGAGCCTCTCTCTTCACAGGAGCTGCGCGAGTGGTTCGCTCGCCGTTGGAGGCGTGCTGCCGAGTCTGGGGGTGCTGCTGGAGCTGGAGCTGGACCTTCTTCGCCTGACGAGGGTGCTGGTGCTGCCGGTCCCGGAGCTGCTGGGCCTGCGGGTCCTCCTGGCGCTGGCGCTGCTGAGGGTGTTGGAGCTGAGACTGCTGCTGTTGGTCCTGCTGCTGGAGGAGTTGGTGGCCCTGGTGCTGTCGCTGAGGGTGCTGGAGCTGTCCCTGCTGCGCCTGGAGCTGCTGAGCGGCCTCGACCGTACTTCGTTCCGCTCCTGCAGCAGGTTCTTGGTCTTTCTCCTCCAGTAGAGAGTCCACCGCCTGTCCAGTCGCAGTCCCTGCTGGAGCCTTCCTCTCCGCTACCTGCTCCCTCTCCTTACACTGGTCCTACTGGAGGTCTTGCTGAGCGTCGTGAGCCTGCGTCTCGTCCTGCGTCGCTTGTTCGTCCTGCTCGCGCTACTGGTCGCGGTTCGCGTCAGCGTCCTCCTCCTGTCCCTGGCACGCACCAGATGTCTTTGCGTCCGTCCACTGCTCCTCTGCGTGCCCCTTTGCCTTCTCCTCCTGAGTCCTCTCTTCCTGCGCTTGCCGACCCTGGGTCGGACTCTCTTCGTGCTGCCAGTCCTACTGTCACGCGTCTGCTTGCTACTGTCGTCACTGACCCCTCTTTTGAGTCCACTGCTGCGTCTGCTCTAGTCGCTGAGCTTGTCGACTTTGCTGCTCGCTGTCGCTTAGACTACGCTGCTAGTCTTGTTGCTGAGTCTGCGTCTGTCTGTCCTCCGTCCGTCGGGGGTGAGTGTGCTCTTGGCACGGACGTCCTAGAGGACAGGCAGGAGGAGTTACAGTGTCTAGCGGCTGCTTCACCTCATCTCGCGTCTGTACTGCTTGCCCCTGAGGGAGACCCGGATGCACTAGACATCCCGACTCCGCGCTCTTACGCGGAGGCTGTAGAGGGTCCCTACTCCTCTCAGTGGCAGGCAGCTATGGATGCAGAGATGGCTTCCTGGAAGTCCACAGGCACCTACGTTGACGCAGTTCCCCCTCCTGGGGCGAACATCGTCAGTGGCATGTGGATCTTCAGAGTGAAGCGGCCGCCGGGCTCTCCGCCTGTCTTCAAGGCGCGTTACGTCGCTCGTGGCTTCAGTCAGCGGCAGGGAGTTGACTACTTTCAGACCTTCTCTCCCACTCCGAAGATGACCACTCTTCGGGTGTTGCTACACGTTGCCGCTCAGCGCGACTACGAGCTTCACTCTCTCGACTTCAGCACTGCGTTCCTGCAGGGTAGCCTGCACGAGGAGATCTGGCTGCGCCGTCCGCCTGGCTTCACTGGGACTTTCCCTCCTGGCACCCAGTGGAGCCTCCGACGGCCAGTCTACGGTCTCCGCCAGGCACCGCGTGAGTGGCACGACACACTGAGGACTACGCTTGCGGCTCTTGGGTTTGCTCCTTCCACTGCTGACCCGTCGCTGTTTCTTCGCACCGACACTTCCTTGCCGCCGTTCTACATCCTCGTGTACGTCGACGACTTGGTCTTTGCCACAGCGGACACTGCTGGACTCGCCTACGTGAAGTCCGAGCTGCTGAAGAGACACACGTGTACAGACCTGGGTGAACTGCGCAGCTACCTTGGCTTGCAGATCACTCGGGACAGAGCACGCCGCACCATTACCCTGACTCAGTCACACATGGTGCAGCAGGTCCTTCAGCGCTTCGGCTTCACGTACTCCTCGCCTCAGGCCACTCCTCTGCCTACTCGCCACTCGCTCTCAGCTCTGCCTTCGGATGAGTCCGTAGAGTCGAGTGGCCCGTATGCAGAGCTTGTTGGCTGCCTCATGTACCTAATGACCTGCACACGACCTGACCTTGCATACCCTCTGAGCATCCTTGCACGCTATGTTGCTCCTGGGAGACACCGACCAGAGCACATGGCTGCAGCGAAGAGGGTATTGCGCTACCTGTGCAGTACGTCGGGCATGGGGCTAGTGCTTGGAGGGCGGAGTCCAGTGGTCCTTACGGGCCACGCGGACGCTTCTTGGGCTGACGACCAGGCTACGCAGCGGTCGTCACAGGGTTACACCTTCAGCCTTGGTTCCGGCTCTGTCTCGTGGCGGTCTACTCGCTCGTCTTCGGTTCTCGGCTCCAGTTGTGAGGCTGAGATCTACGCCGGGGCCATGGCTGCACAGGAGCTTCGCTGGCTCACCTACCTGCTGACTGACCTTGGAGAGCCGCCTCGTTCTCCTCCAGTGCTGTACGTAGACAACAAGGCCATGCTGGCCTTGTGTCGTGAGCAGCGTCTGGAGCACAGAACGAAGCACATTGCTCTCCGCTACTTCCTTGCTCGTGAGCTGCAGCAGCGTGGTCAGCTGCGACTTGCGTACGTGGCCTCTGAGGCCAACACTGCTGATGTGTTCACCAAGGCACTCGCGCCTTGTGACCATCAGCGCTTCTGTACCCAGCTGGGTCTTGTGCCTGTCTTGCCTCACTTGCTCTCTTCCTGACTTCACTTGTACTGTGACATATATATATACCTGCTCTTGCTTGTCTAGTATTATATATATGTCTGTACTCCTGCATGTGAACTGGCCTCTGGCCCTGCTCTTGTGCTCGGACTATGTGGTGACTTTGTGATCCACCCTGAGCTTGCTTTGCTTTGCTTGACTGGTCTTGTGACCCCTTGTTCTCCCCACTTTGCCTATGGGGGTGTGTCAGAACATTATAGCTCATACATGTTTGTAGGCTATAGTGGGGTAGCACATATGGGGTACAGATTCCTAGGGTTTGCTATTTTGTACCAATTTGTGACTTAGTCATTTCATTCCTCTTCTCATTGTTTCACATCCATCACCCCTCCCATTCTCCCTCTTTCCATCACCCCGCCCCATTCTCCTGCTTTCTATCACCCCGCCCCATTCTCCCTCTTTCCATCACCCCGCCCCATTCTCCCGCCTTCCATCACCCCGCCCCATTCGCCATCTTTCCATCACCCTGCCCAATTCTCCCCCTTTCCATCACCCCGCCCCATTCTCCCGCCTTCCATCACCCCGCCCCATTCTCCCTCTTTCCATCACCCCACCCCATTCTCCCGCTTTCCATCACCCCGCCCCATTTTCCCGATTTCCATCACCCCGCCCCATTCTCCCGCTTTCCATCACCCCGCCCCATTCTCCCGCTTTCCATCACCCCGCACTATTCTCCAGCTTTCCATCACCCCGCCCCGTTCTCCCTCTTTCCATCACCCAGCCCCATTCTCCCGCTTTCCATCACCCCGCCCCATTCTCCCGCTTTCCATCACCCCGCTTTATTCTCCCTCTTTCCATCACCCCGCCCCATTCTCCCGCATTCCTTCACCCCGCCCCATTTTCCCTCGTTCCATCACCCCGCTCCATTCTCCCGCTTTCCATCACCCCGCCCAATTCTCCCTCTTTCTATCCCCCCTCCCCATTCTCCCTCTTTCCATCACCCCGCCCCATTCTCCCGCTTTCCATCACCACGCCCCATTCTCCCTCTTTCCACCACCCTGCTCCATTCTCCCTCTTTCCATCACCCCGCCCCATTCTCCCGCTTTCCATCACCCCGCCCCATTCTCCCTCTTTCCATCACCCCGCTCCATTCTCCCGCTTTTCATCACCCCGCCCAATTCTCCCTCTTTCTATCACTCCTCTCCATTCTCCCTCTTTCTATCTCCCCGCCCCATTCTCCCGCTTTCCATCACCCCGCCCCATTCTCCCTCTTTCCATCACCCCGCCCCATTCTCCCTCTTTCCATCACCCCGCCCCATTTTCCCGCTTTCCATCACCCCGCCCCATTCTCCCTCTTTCTATCACCCCGCCCCATTCTCCCGCTTTCTATCACCCCGCCCCATTCTCCCGCTTTCCATCACCCCGCTCCATTCTTCCGCTTTCCATCACCCCGCCCAATTCTCCCTCTTTCCATCACCCCTCCCCATTCTCCCTCTTTCCATCAACCTGCCCCATTCTCCCGCTTTCCATCACCCCGCCCCATTCTCCCTCTTTCCATCACCCCGCCCCATTCTCTCGCTTTCCATCACCGCGCCCCATTCTCCCTCTTTCCATCACCCGCCCCATTCTCCCGCTTTCCATCACCCGCCCCATTCTCCCGCTTTCCATCACCCCGCCCCATTCTCCCGCTTTCCATCACCGCGCCCCATTCTCTTGCTTTCCATCACCCCGCCCCATTCTCCCGCTTTCCATCACCCCGCCCCATTCTCCTGCTTTCCATCACCCCGCCCCATTCTCCCGCTTTCCATCACCCTGCCCCATTCTCCCGCTTTCCATCACCTCGTCCCATTCTCCCTCTTTTCATCACCCCGCCCGATTCTCCCTCTTTCCATCACCCCGCCCCATTCTCCCGCTTTCCATCACCCCGGCCCATTCTCCCTATTTCCATCACCCCGCCCCATTCTCCCACTTTCCATCACCCCGCCCCATTCTCCCTCTTTCCATCACCCCGCCCCATTCTCCCGCTTTCCATCACCCCGCCCCATTTGCCCTCTTTCCATCACCCCGCCCCATTCTCCCTCCTTCCATCACCCCGCCCCATTCTCCCTCTTTCCATCACCCCGCCCCATTCTCCCTATTTCCATCACCCCGCCCCATTCTTCCGCTTTCCATCACCCCGCCCCATTCTCCAGCTTTCCATCACCCCGCCCCATTCTCCCGCTTTCCATCACCCTGCCCCATTCTCCCGCTTTCCATCACCCTGCCCCATTCTCCCGCTTTCCATCACCCCGCCCCATTCTTCCGCTTTCCATCACCCTGCCCCATTCTCCAGCTTTCCATCACCCCGCCCCATTCTCCCGCTTTCCATCACCCCGCCCCATTCTCCCTCTTTTCATCACCCCGCCCCATTCTCCCTCTTTCCATCACCCCGCCCCATTCTCCCTCTTTCCATCACCCCACCCCATTCTCCCTATTTCCATCACCCCGCCCCATTCTTCCGCTTTCCATCACCCCGCCCCATTCTCCAGCATTCCATCACCCCGCCCCATTCTCCCGCTTTCCATCACCCCGCCCCATTCTCCCGCTTTCCATCACCCCGCCCCATTCTCCCGCTTTCCATCACCCCGCCCCATTCTTCCGCTTTCCATCACCCCGCCCCATTCACCCGCTTTCCATCACCCCGCCCCATTCTCCCGCTTTCCATCACCCCGCCCCATTCTCCTGCTTTCCATCACCCCGCCCCATTTTCCCGCTTTCCATCACCCCGCCCCATTCTCCCGCTTTCCATCACCCCGCCCCATTCTCAAGCTTTCCATCACCTCGCCCCATGCTCCCGCTTTCAATCACCCCGCCCCATTCTCCCGCTTTCCGTCACCCCGCCCCATTCTTCCGCTTTCTATTACCCCGCCCCATTCTCCCGCTTTCCATCACCCCGCCCCATTCTCCCGCTTTCCATCACTTCGCCCCATTCTCCCGCTTTCCATCACCCCGCCCCTTTCTTCCTCTTTCCATCACCCCGCCCCATTCTCCCGCTTTCCATCTCCCCGCCCCATTCTCCCGCTTTCCATCACCCCGCCCCATTCTCCCGCTTTCCATCACCCCGCCCCAGTCTCCCGCTTTCCATCACCCCGCCCCATTCTCCCTCTTTTAATCACCCGCCCCTTTCTCCCTCTTTCCATTACCCCACCCCATTCTCCCTCTTTCCATCACCCCGCCCCATTCTCCCGCTTTCCATCATCCCGCCCCATTCTCCCGCTTTCCATCACCCCGCCCCATTCTCCCGCTTTCCATCACCCCGCCCCATTCTCCCGCTTTCCATCACCCCGCCCCATTCTCCCGCTTTCCATCACCCCGCCCCATTCTCCCGCTTTCCATCACCCCACCCCATTCTCCTGCTTTCCATCACCCCGCCCCATTCTCCCGTTTTCCATCACCCCGCCCCATTCTCCCGCTTTCCATCACTTCGCCCCATTCTCCCGCTTTCCATCACCCCGCCCCTTTCTTCCTCTTTCCATCACCCCGCCCCATTCTCCCGCTTTCCATCTCCCCGCCCCATTCTCCCGCTTTCCATCACCCCGCCCCATTCTCCCGCTTTCCATCACCCCGCCCCAGTCTCCCGCTTTCCATCACCCCGCCCCATTCTCCCTCTTTTAATCACCCGCCCCTTTCTCCCTCTTTCCATTACCCCACCCCATTCTCCCTCTTTCCATCACCCCGCCCCATTCTCCCGCTTTCCATCATCCCGCCCCATTCTCCCGCTTTCCATCACCCCGCCCCATTCTCCCGCTTTCCATCACCCCGCCCCATTCTCCCTCTTTCCATCACCCCGCCCCATTCTCCCGCTTTCCATCACCCCGCCCCATTCTCCCGCTTTCCATCACCCCACCCCATTCTCCTGCTTTCCATCACTCTGCCCCATTCTCCCGCTTTCCACCACCCCACCCCATTCTCCCGCTTTCCATCACCCCGCCCCATTCTCCCTCCTTCCATCACCCCGCCCCATTTTCCCGCTTTCCATCACCCCGCCCCATTCTCCCGCTTTCCATCACCCCGCCCAATTCTCCCGCTTTCCATCACCCCGACCCATTCTCCCTCTTTTCATCACCCCGCCCCATTCTCCCTCTTTCCATCACCCCGCCCTATTCTCCCTCTTTCCATCACCCCACCCCATTCTCCCGCTTTCCAACACCACGCCCCATTCTTCCTTCTTCCATCACCCCGCCCCATTCTCCCGCTTTCCATCACCCCGCCCCATTCTCCCTCCTTCCATCACCCCGCCCCATTCTCCCTCATTCCATCACCCCGCCCCATTCTCCCGCTTTCCATCACCCCGCCCCATTCTCCCGCTTCCCATAACCCCACCCCATTCTCCCGCTTTCCATCACCCCGCCACATTTTCCCACTTTCCATCACCCCGCCCCCTTCTCTCTCCTTCCATCACCCCGCCCCATTCTCCCTCCTTCCATCACCCCGCCCCATTCTCCCGCTTTCCATCAGCCCGCCCTATTCTCCCGCTTTCCATCACCCCGCCCCTTTCTCCCGCTTTCCATCACCCCGCCCCATTCTCCCGCTTTCCATCACCCCGCCCCATTCTCCCTCTTTCCATCACCCCGCCCCATTCTCCCGCTTTCCATCACCCCGCCCCATTCTCCTGCTTTCCATCACCCCGCCCCATTCTCCCTTTTTCCATCACCCCGCCCTATTCTCCCTCTTTCCATCACCCCGCCCCATTCTCTCGCATTCCATCACCCCGCCCCATTCTCCCGCTTTCCATCACCCCGCCCCATTCTCCCGCTTTCCATCAGCCCACCCCATTCTCCAGCTTTCCATCACCCCGCTCCATTCTCCCGCTTTCCATCACCCCGCCCAATGCTTCCTCCTTCCATCACCCCTCCCCATTCTCCCTCTTTCCATCACCCCGCCCCATTCTCCCTCTTTCCATCACCCCGCCCCATTCTCCCTCTTTCCATCACCCAGCCCCATTCTCCCTCTTTCCATCACCTTGCCACATTCTCCCTCTTTCCATCACCCTGCCCTATTCTCCCTGTTTCCATCACCCCGCCCCATTCTCCCTGTTTCCATCACCCCGCCCCATTCTCCCGCTTTGCATCACCCCGCCCCATTCTCCCTGTTTCCATCACCCCGCCACGTTCTCCCGCTTTCCATCACCCCACCCCATTCTCCCCCTTTCCATCACCCCGCCCCATTCTCCCGCTCTCAATCACCCCACCCCATTCTCCCGTTTTCCATCACCCCTCCCCATTCTCCCTCTTTCCATCACCCCGCCCCATTCTCCCTCTTTCCATCACCCTGCCCCATTCTCCCGCTTTCTATCACCCCGCCCCATTCTCCCGCTTTCCATCATCCCGCTCCATTCTCCCCCTTTCCATCACCCCGCCCAATTCTCCCTCTTTCCATCACCCCGCCCCATTCTCCCGCTTTCCATCACCCCCCCCCATTCTCCCGATTTCCATCACCCCGCCCCATTCTCCCGCTTTCCATCACCCCGCCCCATTCTCCCGCTTTCCATCACCCCGCCCCATTCTCCCGCTTTCCATCATCCCGCCCCATTCTCCCTCCTTCCATCACCCCGCCCCATTCTCCCGCTTTCCATCATTCCGCCCCATTCTCCCTCCTTCCATCACCCCGCCTCATTCTCCCTCCTTCCATCACCCCGCCCCATTCTCCCGCTTTCCATCACCCCGCCCCATTCTCCCGCTTCCCATAACCCCACCCCATTCTCCCGCTTTTCATCACCCCGCCACATTCTCCCACTTTCCATCGCCCCGCCCCCTTCTCTCTCCTTCCATCACCCCGCCCCATTCTCCCTCCTTCCATCAGCCCGCCCCATTCTCCCGCTTTCCATCACACCGCCCCTTTCTCCCGCTTTCCATCTCCCCGCCCCATTCTCCCGCTTTCCATCACCCCGCCCCATTCTCCCGCTTTCCATCACCCCGCCCCATTCTTCCGCTTCCCATCATCCCGCCCCATTCCCCCACTTTCCATCACCCCTCCCTTTTCTCCCTCCTTCCATCACCCCGCCCCATTCTCTCGCTTTCCATCACCCCGCCCCATTCTCCCGCTTTCCATCACCCCGCCCCATTCTCCCGCTTTCCATCACCCCGCCCCATTCTCCCTCCTTCCATCACCCCGCCCCATTCTCCCGCTTTCCATCACCCCGCCCCCTTCTCCCTCCTTCCATCACCCCGCCCCATTCTCCCTCCTTCCATCACCCCGCCCCATTCTCCCGCTTTCCATCATCCCGCCCCATTCTCCCTCCTTCCATCACCCCGCCCCATTCTCCCTCCTTCCATCACCCCAACCCATACTCCCGCTTTCCATCACCCCGCCCCATTCTCCCTCCTTCCATCACCCCACCCCGTTCTCCCGCTTTCCATCATCCCGCTCCATTCTCCCCCTTTCCATCACCCCGCCAAATTCTCCCCCTTTCTATCACCCCGCCCCATTCTCCCTCTTTCCATCACCCCGCCCCATTCTCCCGCTTTCCATCACCCCGCCCCATTCTCCGTCTTTCCATCACCCCGCCCCATTCTCCCGCTTTCCATCACCCCGCCCCATTCTCCCTCTTTCCACCACCCCGCCCCTTTCTCCCTGTTTCCATCACCCCGCCCCATTCTCCCATTTACCATCACCCCACCCCATTCTCACTCTTTCCATCACCCCGCCCCATTCTCCCTCTTTCCATCACCCCGCCCCGTTTTCCCTCTTTCCATCACCCTGCCCCATTCTCTCGCTTTCCATCACCCCGCCCCATTCTCCCTCTTTCCATCAACCCGCCCCGTTCTCCCTCTTTCCATCACCCCGCCCCATTCTCCCGCTTTCCATCACCCAGCCCCATTCTTCCTCTTTACATCACCCCGCCCCATTCTCCCGCTTTCTATCACCCCGCCCGATTCTCCCGCTTTCCATCACCCCGCCCCATTCTCCCTCTTTCCATCACCCTGCCCCATTCTCCCGCTTTCCATCACCTCGCCCCATTTTCCCGCTTTCCATCACCCCGCCCCATTCTCCCGCTTTCCATCACCCCGCCCCATTCTCCCTCTTTCTATCACCCCTCCCCATTCTCCCTCTTTCCATCACCCCGCTCCATTCTCCCGCTTTCCATCACCCCGCCCCATTCTCCCGCTTTCTATCACCCCGCCCCATTTTCACTCTTTCCATCACCGCGCCACATTCTCCCGCTTTCCATCACCCCGCCCCATTCTCCCGCTTTCCATCACCCCGCCCCATTCTCCCGCTTTCCATCACCCCACCCCATTCTCCAGCTTTCCATCACCCCGCTCCATTCTCCCGCTTTCCATCACCCCGCCCAATTCTCCCTCTTTCCATCACCCCTCCCCATTCTCCCTCTTTCCATCAACCTGCCCCATTCTCCCTCTTTCCATCACCCCGCCCCATTCTCCCGCTTTCCATCACCCCTCCCCATTCTCCCTTTTTCCATCACCCCGCCCCATTCTCCCTCTTTCCATCACCCCGCTCCATTCTCCCGCTTTCCATCACCCCGCCCCATTCTCCCGCTTTCTATCACCCCGCCCCATTTTCACTCTTTCCATCACCGCGCCACATTCTCCCGCTTTCCATCACCCCGCCCCATTCTCCCGCTTTCCATCACCCCGCCCCATTCTCCCGCTTTCCATCACCCCACCCCATTCTCCAGCTTTCCATCACCCCGCTCCATTCTCCCGCTTTCCATCACCCCGCCCAATTCTCCCTCTTTCCATCACCCCTCCCCATTCTCCCTCTTTCCATCAACCTGCCCCATTCTCCCTCTTTCCATCACCCCGCCCCATTCTCCCTCTTTCCATCACCCCGCCCCATTCTCCCTGTTTCCATCACCCCGCCCCATTCTCCCGCTTTCCATCACCCCGCCCCATTCTCCCTGTTTCCATCACCCTGCCCCGTTCTCCCGCTTTCCATCACCCCACCCCATTCTCCCCCTTTCCATCACCCCGCCCCATTCTCCCGCTCTCAATCACCCCGCCCCATTCTCCCGTTTTCCATCACCCCTCCCCATTCTCCCTCTTTCCATCACCCCGCCTCATTTTCCCTCTTTCCATCACCCTGCCCCATTCTCCCGCTTTCTATCACCCCGCCCCATTCTCCCGCTTTCCATCATCCCGCTCCATTCTCCCCCTTTCCATCACCCCGCCCAATTCTCCCTCTTTCCATCACCCCTCCCCATTCTCCCGCTTTCCATCACCCCGCCCCATTCTCCCTCTTTCCATCACCCCGCCCCATTCTCCCGCTTTCCATCACCTCGCCCCATTTTCCCGCTTTCCATCACCCCGCCCCATTCTCCCGCTTTCCATCACCCCGCCCCATTCTCCCTCTTTCTATCACCCCTCCCCATTCTCCCTTTTTCCATCATCCCGCCCCATTCTCCCTCTTTCCATCACCCCGCTCCATTCTCCCGCTTTCCATCACCCCGCCCCATTCTCCCGCTTTCTATCACCCCGCCCCATTTTCACTCTTTCCATCACCGCGCCACATTCTCCCGCTTTCCATCACCCCGCCCCATTCTCCCGCTTTCCATCACCCCGCCCCATTCTCCCGCTTTCCATCACCCCACCCCATTCTCCAGCTTTCCATCACCCCGCTCCATTCTCCCGCTTTCCATCACCCCGCCCAATTCTCCCTCTTTCCATCACCCCTCCCCATTCTCCCTCTTTCCATCAACCTGCCCCATTCTCCCTCTTTCCATCACCCCGCCCCATTCTCCCTCTTTCCATCACCCCGCCCCATTCTCCCTGTTTCCATCACCCCGCCCCATTCTCCCGCTTTCCATCACCCCGCCCCATTCTCCCTGTTTCCATCACCCCGCCCCGTTCTCCCGCTTTCCATCACCCCACCCCATTCTCCCCCTTTCCATCACCCCGCCCTATTCTCCCGCTCTCAATCACCCCGCCCCATTCTCCCGTTTTCCATCACCCCTCCCCATTCTCCCTCTTTCCATCACCCCGCCCCATTTTCCCTCTTTCCATCACCCTGCCCCATTCTCCCGCTTTCTATCACCCCGCCCCATTCTCCCGCTTTCCATCATTCCGCTCCATTCTCCCCCTTTCCATCACCCCGCCCAATTCTCCCTCTTTCCATCACCCCTCCCCATTCTCCCTCTTTCCATCACCCCGCCCCATTCTCCCGCTTTCCATCACCCCGCCCCATTCTCCCTCATTCCATCACCCCGCCCCATTCTCCCGCTTTCCATCACCCCGCCCCATTCTCCCTCTTTCCACCACCCCGCCCCTTTCTCCCTGTTTCCATCACCCCGCCCCATTCTCCCGTTTTCCATCACCCCACCCCATTCTTCCTCTTTCCATCACCCTGCCCCATTCTCCCTCTTTCCATCACCCCGCCCCATTCTCCCTCTTTCCATCACCCCGCCCCATTCTCCCGCTTTCCATCAACCCGCCCCATTCTCCCGCTTTCCATCACCCCGCCCCATTTTCCCTCTTTCCATCACCCCGCCCCATTCTCCCGCTTTCCATCACCCTGCCCCATTCTCCCTCTTTCTATCACCCCTCCCCATTCTCCCGCTTTCCATCACCCCGCCCAATTCTCCCTCTTTCTATCACCCCTCCCCATTCACCCTCTTTCTATCACCCCGCCTCATTCTCCCGCTTTCCATCACCCCGCCCCATTTTCCCTCTTTCCATCACCCTGCCCCATTCTCCCACTTTCCATCACCCCGCCACATTCTCCCGCTTTCCATCACCCCTCCCCATTCTTCCTCTTTCCATCACCCCGCCCCATTCTCCCACTAACCGTCACCCCGCCCCATTCTCCCGCTTTCCATCACCCCGCTCCATTCTCCCTCTTTCTGTCACCCCGCCCCATTCTCCCGCTTTCCATCACCCCGCCCCATTCTCCCTCTTTCCATCACCCCGCCCCATTCTCCCGCTTTCCATCACCCCGCTCTATTCTCCCGCTTTCCATCACCCCGCCAAATTCTCCCTCTTTCCATCACCCCTCCCCATTCTACCTCTTTCCATCACCCCGCACCCCACTCTCCCTCTTTCCATCACCCCGCCCCATTCTCCCGCTTTCCATCAACCCGCCCCATTCTCCCTCTTTCCATCACCCCGCCCCATTCTCCCGCTTTCCATTACCCCGCCCCATTTTCCCTCTTTCCATCAGCCCGCCCCATTCTCCTGCTTTCCATCACCCCGCCTTATTCTCCAGCTTTCCATCACCCCGCTCCATTCTCCCGCTTTCAATCACCCAGCCCAATTCTCCCTCTTTCCATCAACCCCCCCCCCATTCGCCCGCTTTCCATCACCCCCCCCCCATTCTCCCGCTTTCCATCACCCCGCCCCATTCTCCCTCTTTCCATCACCCCGCCCCATTCTCCCGCTTTCCATGACCCCGCCCCATTCTCCCTCTTTCCATCACCCCGCCCCATTCTCCCTCTTTCCATCACCCCGCCCCATTCTCCCTCTTTCCATCACCCCGCCCCATTCTCCCTCTTTCCATCACCCCGCCCCATTCTCCCTCTTTCCATCACCCCGCCCCATTCTCCCGCCTTCCATCACCCAGCCCCATTCTCCCTCTTTACATCACCCCGCCCCATTCTCCCGCTTTCTATCACCCCGCCCCATTCTCCCGCTTTCCATCACCCCGCCCCATTCTCCCTCTTTCCATCACCTCGGCCCATTCTCCCGCTTTCCATCACCCCGCCCCATTTTCTCTCTTTACATCACCCCGCCCCATTCTCCCGCTTTCCATCACCCCGCCCCATTCTCCCTCTTTCTATCACCCCTCCCCATTCTCCCGCTTTCCATCACCCCACCCAATTCTCCCTCTTTCTATCACCCCTCCCCATTCTCCCCTTTTCCATCCCCCCTCCCAAATCTCCCGCTTTCCATCACCCCGCCCAATTCTCCCTCTTTCTATCACCCCTCCCCATTCTCCCCTTTTCCATCCCCCCGCCCCATTCTCCCTCTTTCTATCACCCCTCCCCATTCTCCCTCTTTCCATCACCCCGCCCCATTCTCCCGCTTTCCATTACCCCGCCCCATTCTCCCGCTTTCCATCACCTCGCCCCATTCTCCCGCTTTCCATCACCCCGCCCCATTCTCCCTCTTTCCATCACCCTGCCCCATTCTCCCGCTTTCCATGACCCCGCCCCATTCTCCCGCTTTCCATCACCCCGCCCCATTCCCGCTTTCCATCAACCCGCCCCATTTTCCCTCTTTCCATCACCCCGCCCCATTCTCCCGCTTTCCATCACCCTGCCCCATTCTCCCTCTTTCTATCACCCCTCCCCATTCTCCCGCTTTCCATCACCCCGCCCAATTCTCCCTCTTTCTATCACCCCTCCCCATTCACCCTCTTTCTATCACCCCGCCTCATTCTCCCGCTTTCCATCACCCCGCCCCATTTTCCCTCTTTCCATCACCCTGCCCCATTCTCCGACTTTCCATCACCCCGCCACATTCTCCCGCTTTCCATCACCCCTCCCCATTCTTCCTCTTTCCATCACCCCGCCCCATTCTCCCACTAACCGTCACCCCGCCCCATTCTCCCGCTTTCCATCACCCCGCTCCATTTTCCCTCTTTCTGTCACCCCGCCCCATTCTCCCGCTTTCCATCACCCCGCCCCATTCTCCCTCTTTCCATCACCCCGCCCTATTCTCCCGCTTTCCATCGCCCCGCCCCATTCTCCCTCTTTCCATCACCCCGCTCTATTCTCCCGCTTTCCATCACCCCGCCCAATTCTCCCTCTTTCCATCACCCCTCCCCATTCTACCTCTTTCCATCACCCCGCCCCCCACTCTCCCTCTTTCCATCACCCCGCCCCATTCTCCCGCTTTCCATCAACCCGCCCCATTCTCCCTCTTTCCATCACCCCGCCCCATTCTCCCGCTTTCCATTACCCCGCCCCATTTTCCCTCTTTCCATCAGCCCGCCCCGTTCTCCTGCTTTCCATCACCCCGCCCCATTCTCCAGCTTTCCATCACCCCGCTCCATTCTCCCGCTTTCAATCACCCAGCCCGATTCTCCCTCTTTCCATCAACCCCCCCCCCCATTCGCCCGCTTTCCATCACCCCGCCCCATTCTCCCGCTTTCCATCACCCCGCCCCATTCTCCCTCTTTTCATCACCCCGCCCAATTCTCCCGCTTTCCATGACCCCGCCCCATTCTCCCTCTTTCCATCACCCCGCCCCATTCTCCCGCTTTCCATCACCCCGCCCCATTCTCCCTCTTTCCATCACCCCGCCCCATTCTCCCGCTTTCCATCACCCCGCCCGCTCCATTCTCCCGCTTTCCATCACCCCGCCCAAGCGGGAGAATAAGGCAGGGTGATAGAAAGCGAGAGAATGGGGCGGGGTGATGGAAAACAGGAGAATGGGACGGGGTGATGGAAAGTGGGAGAATTGGGCGGGGTGATGGATAGAGGGAGAATGGGGCGGGGTGATGGAAAGCAGGAGAATGGGGCGGGGTGATGGAAATCGGGAGAATGGAGCGGGGTGATGGAAAGAGGGAGAATAAGGCGGGGTGATGGAAAGAGGGAGAATGGGGCGGGTTGATGGAAAGAGGGAGAATGGGGCGGGGTGATGAAAGGTGGGAGAATAGGGTGGGGTGATGGAAAGCGGGAGAATTGGGCGGGGTGATGGAAAGAGGGAGAATGGGGCGGGGTGATGAAAGACGAGAGAATGGGGCGGGTGATGGAAAGAGGGAGAATGGGGCGGGGTAATGGAAAGCGGGAGAATGGGGAGGGGTGATGGAAAGAGGGAGAATGGAGAGGGGTGATGGAAAGAGGGAGAATTGGGCGGGGTGATGGAAAGCGGGAGAATGGAGCGGATGGGGTAATGGAAAGCGGGAGAATGGAGCGGGGTGATGGAAATAGGGAGAATGGGGCGGGTTGATGGAAAGAGGGAGAATGGGGCGGGGTGATGGAAAGCGGGAGAATGGGACGGGGTGATGGAAAGCGGGAGAATGGGGCGGGGTGATGGAAAGAGGGAGAATGGGGCGGTGTGATGGAAAGCGGGAGAACGGGGCGGGGTGATGGAAAGCGGGAGAATATGTCGGGGTGATGGAAAGCGGGAAAATGGGGTGGGGTGATGGAAATCGGGAGAATGGGGCGGGGTGATAAAAAGCTGGAGAATGGGGCGGGGTGATAGAAAGAAGGAGAATGGGGCGGGGTGATGGAAAGCGGGAGAATGGGGCGGGGTAATGGATAGAGGGAGAATAGGGAGGGGTGATGGAAAGCGAGAGAATGGGGCGAGGTGATGGAAAGAGGAAGAATGGGGCAGGGTGATGGAAAGAGGGAGAATGGGGCGAGGTGATGGAAACAGGGAGAATGGGGTGGGGTGACGGAAAGAGGGAGAATGAGACGGGTTGATGGAAAGAAGGAGAATGGGGCGGGGTGATGGAAAGCAGGAGAATGGGGTGGGGTAATGGAAAGAGGGAGAATGGGGCGGGGTGATGGAAAGAGGGAGAATGGGGCGGGGTGATGGAAAGTAGGAGAATGGGGCGGGGTGATGGAAAGAGGGAGAATGGGAAGGGGTGATAGAAAGAGGGAGAATTGGGCGGGGTGATGGAAAGCGGGACAATGGAGCCGGGTGATGGAAAGAGGGAGAATGGGGCGGGTGATGGAAAAAGGTTAAATGGCACGGGGTGAAGGAAAGCGGGAGAATGGGGCGGGGTGATGGAAAGAGGGAGAATGGGGCGGGGTGATGGAAAGAGGGAGAATGGGGCGGGGTGATGGAAAGAGGGAGAATGGGGCGGGGTGACGGAAAGCTGGAGAATGGGGCGGGGTGATGGAAAGAGGGAGAATGGAGCGGGGTGATGGAAAGAGGGAGAATGGGACGGGGTGATGGAAAGCGGGAGAATGGGGCGGGGTGATGGAAGACGGGAGAATGGGGTGGGGTGATGGAAGGCGGGAGAATTGGGCAGGGTGATGGAAAGATGGAGAATGGGGCGGGGTGATGGAAGGCGGGAGAGTGGGGCGGGGTGATGTAAAGATGGAGAATGGGGCGGGGTGATGGAAAGTGGGAGAATGGGGCGGGGTGATGGAAAGCGGGAGAATGGGGCGGGGTGATGGAAAGAGGGAGAATGGGGCGGGGAGATGGAAAGAGGAAGAATGGGGCGGGGTGATGGAAAGAGGGAGAATGGGACGGGGTGATGGAAAGCGGGAGAATGGGGCGGGGTGATGGAAAGCGGGAGAATGGGGCGGGGTGATGGAAAGTGAGAGAATGGGGCGGGGTGATGGGAAGAGGGAGAATGGGGCGGGGTGATGGAAAGCAGGAGAATGGGGCGGGGTGATGGAAAGCGGGAGAATGGGGCGGGGTGATGGAAAGCGGGAGAACGGGGCGGGGTGATGGAAAGCGGGAGAATGGGGCGGGGTGATGGAAAGCGGGAGAATGGGGCGGGGTTATGGAAAGAGGGAGAATGGGGCAGGGTGATGGAAAGCGGGAGAATGGGGCGGGGTGATGGAAAGAGGGAGAATGGGGCGGGGTGATGGAAAGAGGGAGAATGGGACGGGGTGATGGAAAGCGGGAGAATGCGGCGGGGTGATGGAAAGAGGGAGAATGGGGCGGGGTGATAGAAATTGGGAGAATGGGGCGGGGTGATGGAAAGAGGGGAGGATGGGGTGGGGTGATGGAACGCGGGAGAATGGCACGGGATTATGGAAAGCGGGAGAATTGGGTGGGGTGATGGATAGAGGGAGAATGGGGCAGGGTGATGGAAAGAGGAAGAATGGGGCAGGGTGATGGAAAGCGGGAGAATTGATCGAGGTGATGGAAAGCGGGAGAATGGGGCGGGGTGATGGAAAGAGGGAGAATGGGGCGGGGTGATAGAAAGAGGGAGAATGGGGCGGGGTGATGGAAAGCGGGAGAACGGGGCGGGGTGATGGAAAAAGGGAGAATAGGGAGTGGTGATAGAAAGAGGGAGAATTGGGCGGGGTGATGGAAAGCGGGACAATGGAGCGGGATGATGGAAAGCGAGAGAATGGGGCAGGGTGATGGAAAGCGAGAGAATGGGGCGGGGTGATGGAAAGAGGGAAAATGGCGCGGGGTGATGGAAAGTGGGAGAATGGGGCGGGGTGATGGAAAGAGGGAGAATGGGCCGGGGTGATGGAAAGAGGGAGAATGGGGCGGGGTGATGGAAAGCGAGAGAATGGGCGGGGTGATGGAAAGAGGGAGAATGGGGCGGGGTGATGGAAAGCGGGAGAATGGGGCGGGGTGATGGAAAGCGGGAGAATCGGGCGGGGTGATGGAAAGCGGGAGAATAGGGCGGGGTGATGAAAGGCGGGAGAATGGGGCGGGGTGATAGAAAGAGGGAGAATGGGGCGGGGTGATGGAAAGAGGGAGAATGGGGAGGGGTGATGGAAAGAGGGAGAATTGGGCGGGGTGATGGAAAGCGGGAGAATGGAGCGGGCGGGGTGATGGAAAGCGGGAGAATGGGGCGGGGTGATGGAAAGCGAGAGAACGGGACAGGGTGATGGAAAGCGGGAGAATGGGGCGGGGTGATGGAAAACGGGAGAATGGGGCGGGGTGATGGAAAGCGGGAGAATGGGCCGGGGTGATGGAAACCGGGAGAATGGGGCGGGGTGATGGAAAGCGGGAGAATGGGGTGGGGTGATGGAAAGCAGGAGAATGGGGCGGGGTGATGGAAAGCGGGAGAATGGGGCGGGGTGATGGAAAGCGGGAGAATGGGGCGGAGTGATGGAAAGAGGGAGAATGGGGCGGGGTGATGGAAGGCGGGAGAATTGGGCGGGGTGATGGGAAGCGGGAGAATTGGGCGGGGTGATGGAAAGCGGGAGAATGAGGCGGGGTGATGAAAGGCGGGAGAATGGGGCGGGGTGATGGGAAGAGGGAGAATGGGGCGGGGTGATGGAAAGCGGGAGAATGGGGCGGGGTGATGGAAAGAGGGAGAATGGGGCGGGGTGATAGAAAGCATGAGAATGGGGTGGGGTAATGGAAAGAGGGAGAATGGGGCGGGGTGATGGAAAGCAGGAGAATGGGGTGGGGTAATGGAAAGAGGGAGAATGGGGCGGGGTGATGGAAAGAGGGAGAATGGGGCGGGGTGATGGAAAGCGGGAGAACGGGGCGGGGTGATGGAAAAAGGGAGAATAGGGAGTGGTGATAGAAAGAGGGAGAATTGGGCGGGGTGATGGAAAGCGGGACAATGGAGCGGGATGATGGAAAGCGAGAGAATGGGGCAGGGTGATGGAAAGCGAGAGAATGGGGCGGGGTGATGGAAAGAGGGAAAATGGCGCGGGGTGATGGAAAGTGGGAGAATGGGGCGGGGTGATGGAAAGAGGGAGAATGGGCCGGGGTGATGGAAAGAGGGAGAATGGGGCGGGGTGATGGAAAGCGAGAGAATGGGCGGGGTGATGGAAAGAGGGAGAATGGGGCGGGGTGATGGAAAGCGGGAGAATGGGGCGGGGTGATGGAAAGCGGGAGAATCGGGCGGGGTGATGGAAAGCGGGAGAATAGGGCGGGGTGATGAAAGGCGGGAGAATGGGGCGGGGTGATAGAAAGAGGGAGAATGGGGCGGGGTGATGGAAAGAGGGAGAATGGGGAGGGGTGATGGAAAGAGGGAGAATTGGGCGGGGTGATGGAAAGCGGGAGAATGGAGCGGGCGGGGTGATGGAAAGCGGGAGAATGGGGCGGGGTGATGGAAAGCGAGAGAACGGGACAGGGTGATGGAAAGCGGGAGAATGGGGCAAGGTGATGGAAAACGGGAGAATGGGGCGGGGTGATGGAAAGCGGGAGAATGGGCCGGGGTGGTGGAAACCGGGAGAATGGGGCGGGGTGATGGAAAGCGGGAGAATGGGGTGGGGTGATGGAAAGCGGGAGAATGGGGCGGGGTGATGGAAAGCGGGAGAATGGGGCGGGGTGATGGAAAGCGGGAGAATGGGGCGGAGTGATGGAAAGAGGGAGAATGGGGCGGGGTGATGGAAGGCGGGAGAATGGGGCGGGGTGATGGGAAGCGGGAGAATTGGGCGGGGTGATGGAAAGCGGGAGAATGGGGCGGGGTGATGAAAGGCGGGAGAATGGGGCGGGGTGATGGGAAGAGGGAGAATGGGGCGGGGTGATGGAAAGCGGGAGAATGGGGCGGGGTGATGGAAAGAGGGAAAATGGGGTGGGGTGATGGAAAGCGGGAGAATGGGGCGGGGTGATGGAAAGAGGGAGAATGGGGCGGGGTGATGGAAAGTGGGAGAATGGGGCGGGGTGATGGAAAGCGGGAGAATGGGGCGGGTTGATGGAAAGCGGGAGAATGGGGCGGGGTGATGGAAAGAGGGAGAATGGGGCGGGGTGATGGAAGGCGGGAGAATGGGGCGGGGTGATGGAAAGAGGGAAAATGGGGCGGGGTGATGGAAAGCGGGAGAATGGGGTGGGGTGATGGAAAGAGGGAAAATGGGGCGGGGTGATGGAAAGTAGGAGAATGGGGCGGGGTGATGGAAAGAGGGAGAATGGGGCGGGGTGATGGAAAGCGGGAGAATGGGGCATGGTCATGGAAAGCGGGAGAATGGGGCGGGGTGATGGAAAGCAGGAGAATGGGGCGGGGTGATGGAAAGCGGGAGAATGGGGTGAGGTGATGGAAAGCAGGAGAATGGGGCGGGGTGATGGAAATCGGGAGAATGGGGCGGGGTGATGGAAAGCGGGAGAATGGGGCGGGGTGATGGAAAGAGGGAGAATGGGGCGGGGTGATAGAAAGCATGAGAATGGGGCGGGGTAATGGAATGTGGGAGAATGAGGCGGGGTGTTGGAAAGCGGGAGAATGGGGCGGGGTGATGGAAAGCGGGAGAATGGGGCGGGGTCATGGAAAGAGGGAGAATGGGGCGGGGTGATGGAAAGCGGGAGAATGGGACGGGGTGGTGGAAAACAAGAGAATGGGGCAGGGTGATGGAAAACGGGAGAATGGGACGGGGTGGTGGAAAGTGGGAGAATTGGGCGGGGTGATGGATAGAGGGAGAATGGGCGGGGTGATGGAAAGCGGGATAATGGGGCGGAGTGATGGAAGGCGAGAGAATGGGGCGGGGTGATGGAAAGCGGGAGAATTGGGTAGGGTGATGGAAAGATGGAGAATGGGGTGGGGTGATGGAAGGCGGGAGAATGGGGCGGGGTGATGGAAAGAGGGAGAATGGGGAGGGGTGATGGAAAGAGTGAGAATGGGGCGGGGTGATGGAAAGCGGTAGAATGAGGCGGGGTGTTGGAAAGCGGGAGAATTGGGCGGGGTGATGGAAAGCGGGAGAATTGGGTAGGGTGATGGAAAGATGGAGAATGGGGTGGGGTGATGGAAGGAGGGAGAATGGGGCGGGGTGATGGAAAGAGGGAGAATGGGGAGGGGTGATGGAAAGAGTGAGAATGGGGCGGGGTGATGGAAAGCGGGAGAATGAGGCGGGGTGTTGGAAAGCGGGAGAATTGGGCGGGGTGATGGAAATCGGGAGAATGGGGCGGGGTGATGGAAAGCGGGAGAATAAGGCAGGGTGATGGAAAGCGAGAGAATGGGGCAGGGTGATGGAAAACGGGAGAATGGGATGGGGTGATGGAAAGTGGGAGAATTGGGCGGGGTGATGGATAGAGGGAGAATGGGGCGGGGTGATGGAAAGCGGGATAATGGGGCGGGGTGATTGAAAGAGGGAGAATGGGGTGGGGAATGGAAGGCGGGAGAATGGGGCGGGGTGATGGAAAGCGGGAGAATTGGGCGGGGTGATGGAAAGCGGGAGAATAGGGCGGGGTGATGAAAGGCCGGAGAATGGGGCGGGGTGATGGAAAGAGGGAGAATGGGGCGGGATGATGGAAAGAGGGAGAATGGGGAGGGGTGATGGAAAGAGGGAGAATTGGGCGGGGTGATGGAAAGCGGGAGAATGGAGCGGGCGGGGTGATGGAAAGCGGGAGAATGGGGCGGGGTGATGGAAAGTGAGAGAACGGGATGGGCTGATGGAAAGCGGGAGAATGAGGCGGGGTGTTGGAAAGCGGGAGAATTGGGCAGGGTGATGGAAATCGGGAGAATGGGGCGGGGTGATGGAAAGCGGGAGAATAAGGCGGGGTGATGGAAAGCGAGAGAATGGGGCAGGGTGATGGAAAACGGGAGAATGGGATGGGGTGATGGAAAGTGGGAGAATTGGGCGGGGTGATGGATAGAGGGAGAATGGGGCGGGGTGATGGAAAGCGGGATAATGGGGCGGGGTGATTGAAAGAGGGAGAATGGGGTGGGGAATGGAAGGCGGGAGAATGGGGCGGGGTGATGGAAAGCGGGAGAATTGGGCGGGGTGATGGAAAGCGGGAGAATAGGGCGGGGTGATGAAAGGCCGGAGAATGGGGCGGGGTGATGGAAAGAGGAAGAATGGGGCGGGATGATGGAAAGAGGGAGAATGGGGAGGGGTGATGGAAAGAGGGAGAATTGGGCGGGGTGATGGAAAGCGGGAGAAGGGAGCGGGCGGGGTGATGGAAAGCGGGAGAATGGGGCGGGGTGATGGAAAGTGAGAGAACGGGATGGGGTGATGGAAAGCGGGAGAATGAGGCGGGGTGTTGGAAAGCGGGAGAATTGGGCAGGGTGATGGAAATCGGGAGAATGGGGCGGGGTGATGGAAAGCGGGAGAATAAGGCGGGGTGATGGAAAGCGAGAGAATGGGGCAGGGTGATGGAAAACGGGAGAATGGGATGGGGTGATGGAAAGTGGGAGAATTGGGCGGGGTGATGGATAGAGGGAGAATGGGGCGGGGTGATGGAAAGCGGGATAATGGGGCGGGGTGATTGAAAGAGGGAGAATGGGGTGGGGAATGGAAGGCGGGAGAATGGGGCGGGTTGATGGAAAGCGGGAGAATTTGGCGGGGTGATTGAAAGCGGGAGAATAGGGCGGGGTGATGAAAGGCCGGAGAATGGGGCGGGGTGATGGAAAGAGGGAGAATGGGGCGGGATGATGGAAAGAGGGAGAATGGGGAGGGGTGATGGAAAGAGGGAGAATTGGGCGGGGTGATGGAAAGCGGGAGAATGGAGCGGGCGGGGTGATGGAAAGCGGGACAATGGGGCGGGGTGATGGAAAGTGAGAGAACGGGACGGGGTGATGGAAAGCGGGAGAATGGGGCGGGATGATGGAAAGCAGGAGGATGGGGTGGGGTGATGGAAAGAGGGGAGAATGGGCCGGTGTGATGGAAAGCGGGAGAACGGGGCGGGGTGATGGAAAGCGGGAGAATGGGGCGGGGTGATGGAAAGTGGGAGAATGGGGCGGGGTGATGGAAATTGGGAGAATGGGGCGGGGTGATGGAAAGAGGGAGAATGGGGAGGGGTGATGGAAAGAGGGAGAATTGGGCGGGGTGATGGAAAGCGCGAGAATGGAGCGGGCGGGGTGATGGAAAGCGGGAGAATGGGGCGGGGTGATGGAAAGTGAGAGAACGGGACGGGGTGATGGAAAGCGGGAGAATGGGGCGGGATGATGGAAAGCAGGAGGATTGGGCGGGGTGATGGAAAGAGGGGAGAATGGGCCGGTGTGATGGAAAGCGGGAGAACGGGGCGAAGTGATGGAAAGCGGGAGAACATGGCGGGGTGATGGAAAGTGGGAGAATGGGGCGGGGTTATGGAAATTGGGAGAATGGGGCGGGGTGATAAAAAGCTGGAGAATGGGGCGGGGTGATGGAAAGCAGGAGAATGGGGCGGGGTTATGGAAAGAGGGAGAATGGGGCGAGGTGATGGAAACAGGGAGAATGGGGCGGGGTGACGGAAAGAGGGAGAATGGGACGGGGTGATCGAAAGAGGGAGAATGGAGAGGGGTGATGGAAAGCGGGAGAATCGGGCGGGGTGATGGACAGCGGGAGAATGGAGCGGGTTGATGGAAAGTGGGAGAATGGGGCGGGGTGATAGAAAGCGGGAGAATGGGGCGAGGTGATGGAAAGAGGGAAAATGGGGCGGGGTGATGGAAAGCAGGAGAACGGGGCGGGGTAATGGAAAGAGGGAGAATGGGGCGGGGTGATGGAAAGAGGGAGAATGGGGCTGGGTGATGGAAAGCGGGAGAATGGGGCGGGGTGATGGAAAGAGGGAGAATGGGGAGGGGTGATGGAAAGAGGGAGAATTGGGCGGGGTGGTGGAAAGCGGGAGAATTGGGCGGGGTGATGGAAAGCGGGAGAATTGGGCGGGGTGATGGAAAGCGGGAGAATAGGGCGGGGTGATGAAAGGTGGGAGAATGGGGCAGGGTGATGGAAAGAGGGAGAATGGGGCGGGGTGATGGAAAGAGGGAGAATGGGGAGGGGTGATGGAAAGAGGGAGAATTGGGCGGGGTGATGGAAAGCGGGAGAATGGAGCGGGCGGGGTGATGGAAGGCGGGAGAATGGGGCGGGGTGATGGAAAGTGAGAGAACGGGACGGGGTGATGGAAAGCGGGAGAATGGGGCGGGATGATGGAAAGCAGGAGGATGGGGCGGGGTGATGGAAAGAGGGGAGAATGGGCCGGTGTGATGGAAAGCGGGAGAACGGGGCGGGGTGATGGAAATCGGGAGAATGGGGCGGGGTGATGGAAAGAGGGAGATTGGGGAGGGGTGATGGAAAGAGGGAGAATTGGGCGGGGTGGTGGAAAGCGGGACAATGGAGCGGGGTGATGGAAAGCGGGAGAATTGTTGGTGCAACCTACGGTTTGCACTCGGCTTGTTGTCCGTGTGCGTGCATGCGTGTGTGCATGGAATGGTATGAGGGCATGGGATAATATATATTTCATGCTTACAATAGTGTGTGTAGGATGGGTCATGATATTGAGTGTGTGTGTCAAGTCAATAGCGAGTTATCGCTAGTCGCGTGTAACGCGGTCATTTTGTGTGTCCCGCGCGGTTTCTATTTTGTCGTGCGCGGTTTCTATTTTGTCGCTTGTCGAACGTTCGGCGTGTCGCAGGTGTGTGCAGCAGACCTATCAAGAACTCAAGGATGAGTCTGTGATGAAGAACCCGAGCCCTGGTGTCAACATTTAAGTGTTTGCGAAGTCCGCGAAAAGGGTACACCTCAAGATATAAAGATTCGTTACATTACAACGTGTAGTGTAACATTTCAGTTGGTGTAGACCCTAGTGAAGGGTAGTTTCGAGACCCTTCGTGGTTGGGGACAGTGTGGCACTGTTCCACATCACTGTACCTCGGCTCTTGGGGTTTGTAGGAGCTGGGAGTCATTCCCAACTCGTAACTCTTGCTAACTCTTCCTAAGTTGCGTTCTAAGACTATGTTGCTGCCATAGTGCTGTTCGTTCAAACCGTCGCTGTGTCGTCAAATCTTGATGATATCGTGGGATCTAAATTGCTTATTGTAGGCGACGTTACGGAGCTCCAGATCCAAGTTGAATAAAGTCAAAGAGGGAGAATGGGGCGGGGTGATGGAAAGCGGGAGAATGGGTCAGGGTGATGGAAAGAGGGAGAATGGGGCGGGGTGATGGAAAGAGGGAGAATGGGGCGGGTTGACGGAAATCGGGAGAATGGGGAGGGGTGATGGAAAGAGGAAGAATTGGGCGGGGTGATGGATAGAGGGAGAATCGCTGCAGCTGAGGAGGAAGGAAGGGTCAAGAGGAGATTCCAAGCCCCTAATAGGCTGACCTATGATGCACCGGGGAAGCAGGGCAAGACGGCCCTAGCTGGAGCGGCAATGATGGTTGGAGACGACGAGGAGAGTGACTACGAGGAGTGTGCCTTCGCTTTATTCTCTCCAGTGGAGATGCCGGGAGAACCAGCAACTCTCAAGGAGGCCTTGGAGAGTGATGATGCTGAGGAGTGGAAGAAGGCAATGGAGAATGAGCTGAAGAGCATTGAGGAGAACGACACGTACGAGTTGGTGGAGCTACCGGAGGGGCGTACGGCGATTACGTCCAAGTGGCTCTTCAAGATCAAGTCGGATGCCGATGGCGTGATCGAGCGCTACAAGTCTCGGCTGGTGGCCAAGGGGTACCAGCAGAAAGAGAAGGTGGACTTCAAGGAGTTGTTTGCTCCTGTGGTGAAGCCGACGACGCTGCGAACCCTATTCGCGGGAGCCGCGATCAAAGGTTGGGTGGTGAAGCAGCTAGACATCGTAACGGCGTTCCTCGACGGGATTCTTGAGGAGGAAATCTTTATGGCGCAGCCGGAGGGGTTTGATGATGGTAGTGGCAGAGTGTGGAAGCTGAAGAAGGCCCTCTATGGGCTGAAGCAGGCCCCAACGCAATGGTACATGAAGCTGCGCGAAGTGTTGGAGGGGATCGGCTTCACTCCCTCAACGGCCGATCACCTTGTTCATGCTTGGCGAGGGAGAGCAGAGGAGCTTCATGGTGGTTTATGTGGACAACATTCTCATATTCTCAGCCTCCTCTGACCTTGTGAAGGAGGTGATGCTGAAACTTCATGACAAGTTCAAGTGCAAGTCCCTTGGGGACGTGAACTTCTACCTCGGGCTCCACATCGAACGTGACGTGGAGAAGCGGTGCATGCGGATGCACCAACGGAAGTACCTGGAGGCGTTGGCTGCCAACTTTGGCCAGAATGAAGGCCATGTGGCTACACCCTTTCCCTCTGGGTTCAAGTGTGTGAAGGGACCAGAGGAGGAGAGCGTGGGTGAAGAGGAGAGGCGCCGTTTTCACTCGTTGGTGGGCAGCCTCATGTATGCGGCGGTCAACACACGACCGGATGTCGCGTTTGCTACCTGGCAGCTGGCTAGGGTTGTGCAATGCCCTAATGAGGAGCAGGTAGCAGCTGGAATGAAGGTGGCCAAGTACCTTGGCCAAACACCGACCGTTGGGCTGCAATACTCGGCGGCGGCACAAAGGCGCAAAAAGGGCGCGGATGGTGTGGAACCCGGGCGGTTGTTCCTCACCGCCTACTCGGACGCTTCATATGCATCAGAACCAGAGGACATGACAAGTGTGGGAGGCTTCATCTGCTGTGTTGGTGGAAGCCCTACTGCTTGGGAGAGCAAGAAGCAGGTGGACCAAGCATTGAGCTCGGTGGAATCCGAGTACATGGCACTCTTCCGTGCCGTACGGGAGATTGTGTGGCAGCGGCGTTTATTGGCTGAATTGGGGGAGGAGCAGCAAGGACCTACTCCTCTCTATTGTGACAGCCAGGGAGCCATTGCTCTAGCCAAGAACCCCGTGTTGCATGGCTTGACAAAGCACATGAGGGTGAAGTGGCATTGGACGAGGAGCATGGTGGCCGCGGGTGAAGTTGAACTGCGTTATGTGAAGACCACGGGGCAGCCGGCTGACATGATGACTAAGAGGCTGGTGGAGCAGCAGCATTGGAAGTGTTGCAAGCTGGCTGGGATGGCTCTGAACTAAGAGGAGCAGATTCTATGTCCAACAATCCGAGGGGGAGTTTGTTGGTGCAACCTACGGTTTGCACTCGGCTTGTTGTCCGTGTGCGTGCATGCGTGTGTGCATGGAATGGTATGAGGGCATGGGATAATATATATTTCATGCTTATAATAGTGTGTGTAGGATGGGTCATGATATTGAGTGTGTGTGTCAAGTCAATAGCGAGTTATCGCTAGTCGCGTGTAACGCGGTCATTTTGTGTGTCCCGCGCGGTTTCTATTTTGTCGTGCGCGGTTTCTATTTTGTCGCTTGTCGAACGTTCGGCGTGTCGCAGGTGTGTGCAGCAGACCCATCAAGAACTCAAGGATGAGTTTGTAATGAAGAACTCGAGCCCTGGTGTCAACATGCAAGTGTTCGCGAAGTCCGCGAAAAGGGTACACCTCAAGATATAAAGATTCGTTACATTACAACGTGTAGTGTAACATTTCAGTTGGTGTAGACCCTAGTGAAGGGTAGTTTCGAGACCCTTCGTGGTTGGGGACAGTGTGGCACTGTTCCACATCACTGTACCTCAGCTCTTGGGGTTTGTAGGAGCTGGGAGTCATTCCCAACTCGTAACTCTTGCTAACTCTTCCTAAGTTGCGTTCTAAGACTATGTTGCTGCCATAGTCCCGTTCGTTCAAACCGACGCTGTGTCGTCAAATCTTGATGAAATCGTGCGATCTAAATTGCTTATTATAGGTGACGTCAAGGAGCTCCAGATCCAAGTTGAATAAAGTCAAAGAGGGAGAATGGGGCGGGGTGATGGAAAGCGGGAGAATGGGTCAGGGTGATGGAAAGAGGGAGAATGGGGCAGGGTGATGGAAAGAGGGAGAATGGGGCGGGTTGACGGAAATCGGGGAATGGGGCGGGGTGATGGAAAGAGGAAGAATTGGGCCGGGTGATGGAAAGAGGGAGAACGGGGCGGGGTGATGGAAAGAGGGAGAATGGGGCAGGGTGATGGAAAGTGGGAGAATGGGGCAAGGTGATGGAAAGCGGGAGAATGGGGCGGGGTGATGGACAGCGGGAGAATGGGGAGGGGTGATGGAAAGAAGGAGAATGGGATGGGGTGATGGAAAGAGGGAGAATGGGGCGGGGTGATGGAAAGCGGGAGAATGGGGCGGGGTGATGGAAAGCGGGAGAATGGGGCGGGGTGATGGAAAGCGGGAGAATGGGGCGGGGTGCTGGAAAGAGGGAGAATGGGGAGAGGTGATGGGAAGAGGGAGAATTGGGCGGGTTGATGGAAAGCGGGAGAATGGAGCGGGGTGATGGAAAGCGGGAGAATGGGGCAGGGTGATGGAAAGCGGGAGAATGGGGCGGGGTGATGGAAAGAGGGAAAATGGGGCGAGGTGATGGAAAGCGGGAGAATGGGGTGGTGTGATGGAAAGCGGGAGAATGGGGCGGTGTGATGGAAAGAGGGAGAATGGGGCGGGGTGATGGAAAGCGGGAGAATGGGGCGGGGTGATGGAAAGAGGGAGAATGGGGCGGGTTGATGGAAGGCGGGAGAATGGGGCGGGGTGATGCAAATCGGAAGAATGGGGCGGGGTGATGCAAATCGGGAGAATGGGATGGGGTGATGGAAAGAGGGAGAATGGGGCGGGGTGATGGAAAGCGGGAGAATGGGGCGGGGTGATGGAAAGCGGGAGAATGGGGCGGGGTGATGGAAAGCGGGAGAATGGGGCGGGGTGATGGAAAGCGGGAGAATGGGGCGGGGTGATGGAAAGCGGGAGAATGGGGCGGGGTGATGGAAAGTGGGAGAATAGGGAGGGTTGATGGAAAGAGGGAGAATGGGATGGGGTGATGGAAAGCGGGAGAATGGGGCGGGGTGATGGAAAGGGGCAGAATTGGGCAGGGTGATGGAAAGATGGAGAATGGGGCGGGGTGATGGAAGGCGGGAGAATGGGGCGGGGTGATGGAAAGAGGGAGAATGGGGCGGGGAGATAGAAAGCAGGAGAATGGGGCGGGGTGATGGAAAGAGGGAGAATGGGGAGGGGTGGTGGAAAGAGTGAGAATGGGGAAGGGTGATGGAAAGCGGGAGAATGGGGCGGGGTGATGGAAAGCAGGAGAATGGGGCGGGGTGATGGAAATCGGAAGAATGGGGCGGGGTGATGGAAAGCGGGAGAATGGGGCGGGGTGATGGAAATCGGGATAATGGGGTGGGGTGATGGAAAACGGGAGAATAAGGCGGGGTGATGGAAAGCGAGAGAATGGGGCGGGGTGATGGATAGACGGAGAATAGGGCGGGGTGATGGAAAGTGGGAGAATGGGGCGGGGTGATGGAAAGAGGGAGATTGGGGTGGGCTGATGGAAAGCGTGAGAATGGGCCAGGGTGATGGAAAGAGGGAGAATGGGGCGGGGTGATGGAAAGCGGGAGAATGGGGCGGGGTGATGGAAAGCGGGAGAATGGGTCGGGGTGATGGAAAGAGGGAGATTAGGGCGGGGTGATGGAAAGAGGGAGAATGGGGCGGGTTGATGGAAAGCGGGAGAATGGGGCAGGGTGATGGAAAGCG